TTCTCTTGCTTCAATCGACCTACGTCGGTGCATTCGGGGCCGGGAGCAGCTCATGAAAGCACAGACAGAACCCGGGAATACGTGGGGATGGTTGGAGTCTAAGTCGTGGGACTACGACGAGTGCACTGGGAAACCCGGACAGTGCGATCTCGTCCGGCACGCATTGTTTCTCAAAATTAAGGTCAAGGACCCCATCAAGCTTCGGGCTTTGAACCGATATCCGGAGGGCTACCCCAAGAGCATGTGCAACCCATGTAGGCTGTACGTCAACGAATTGGTCGCCGAGGGTCGGAAGAAGATGTGGGAGGATTTGCCAAGTTTATTTGATCTTCCACCTTGGAGCGAGTGAAGAACGATCTTTAGTTTGTGTCTCTTTTCCTGCTGTTCATTAACCAATGAAATTCAGTCCTGAATCTCTTAAATTATAACTCAGTCGACCATTGCATCTTTTTAAATCGATGTGAAGCGGCGGTGGTCGAGCGGAATTTATCAAAGAATTAACGCGCCAGCGCAGAAGACGTGTCGTCGCGGCTCGTATTCCCTGCTCTGAAACTCTAAAACAAAAATGGACAGATCACCGACTTTGGATATATTATTTTGTTGAAGGAGTAGAATGGTTGCATCACAAATGCAATGAACTTGAAGTGAGTCAGTTTATTCGGCGCTTTGAAGAAACATTACAATCACTTTTGCCATGCCTCGAGCTCCTCGCCAAAGGGACACCAGATACAGGGCTCTCTCGCCGGTGAGCAGAAGCTCATCGACAACGGCCTTGAGCTGATTTCATCAGTCGTCTAGAACGAAGTAGTACTGCTGTACGACTCGAGCTTGAAACACACACTCGGTGAGATTTGTTGACCTTGGTATATTTCCTCCGAGGCTGCTAATCCGGTCCTCTGTTAAACTTAAGACTGGCAGGTCCTACGCTCCGCTAAAAAGGCCGGGTAGTGTGAATGGGTAGTGCCCACTTTCGTTTTGCTGAGAATTTCTTCCTCCGCGACGCACGTTGCAAGCCTGTCACGTTCTTGCCTATGAAAATAGATTTACCTCAGGCGCCGGTGACATTTACAAGTCCATGGCCGACGGCACTAACGATGTTGCCAGATTGATAAAACTGCGGTTCCAGTGAAAATTAAACCATTGGCAGCTTGTTGTTCTCCAGGTCGACAGCTAGAGTCAAAGCGGGTCCGCCGCCAATGTTCAAAATCGCGTCAAGATCATTCCGGCCCAGTTTGAGGATTCTCAGTTTTCCACACGACGGCAGAAACGCAACATAAAATTATCTTTGCGCCGACCGCAGAGAGCATCTTGGCTAGCTTGACTTTGACGGTGTCGTCGCGAGAAACTTGACCGAATCTTGGTCGTTCTCTAAAACTTGAAACTACCCAGGGCCAGCTTAAATTTTTTGGACCGAAAAGATGGGCCAAATCATCCAGTGGGTGCGCCGCTCAGGGTTGTTGTGTCCGGGATCGGAGAGCGAGCTGCTAAAAAAACAAAGGCCATGTGGTGCACGTTTATCATGACTCGACATTCCTTGGCTTCTGAATTTATCGTCCTAGCGTCCGGTCAAGTACTAGTGACGACTTCGTTGAAACCAAAGACAATTTAAAAAACTTCAAGTTGGAAAACAGACAAGAATCGGGGAAACACAATCTTTGGGCCTCTGGCGCGACTTTAATCCGAGTCTGACCTGACCAGCTTATCGTTGACGACCTCTGCCACACAGAACGAATTCGAGACAATTATTAGGGAGTTTCAGAATTAAAATCCGGAGCCAAAACTTGTGTCCCAACTCGAGTCCCAACTTCATGGAGTTGAGGCTCGAGTTGGGACACGAAATCGGAGTTGAAGGTCAAATCGGACCCAAGGTCACGACTCAACATCCAACTTGCGTCCCAACTTGATGCCCCAGCTCCATCCCTCCGGCTAATTCGGTTCTCGGGCCTGTATCACACCTTTTTGATGCTCACTGATTCGACTCTGAGCACAGGCCGCTTGGGGTTTTCACAAACAACGTCCCAACTTGGGTACCAACTTGGCTCGAGTCGGTTGTCAAGGTGGAGGCAAGTTGAGGCCGAGTTTTGACAGAAGTTGGGCCCGAGTTTTTAGTTCTGAAACCCGATGTGATGTGCGTTCAACTTCAACTTGTGCTTTGAACTGTGGGAGTGTTACGTTACCCAAGTACACCTCGTAATCTCGCTGATTACGTTACTTTCCTCCTCTCTCACCACAATTCGACAAAACAGTCCTTAAGAGGCGACTGTGAATCGTCTGCTTGATTTCGATCTGCATCAGGGGACGCAAGAATTCAACTGGATGGAATCTTTTGCTGGCTACCTGTAACCAACTGCGCCATTCACCGGGAAAGGCGTTCGCCGTTCGGTCATGAGGAATAGGTCTCGTGTTCTCACCGAATAATCGCTGGCTATCTCAGGCCCTGTAACATGATAAAACTGTGCCATTCACCGGCAGAGGCGTCATGGGGAAAGGTCTCGTGTCATCACTGCACCGTTCATCCTGTCCGAACTTGTGAAACATTCGCAGCATCTACTCCGGATTGTCTTCGGGTAGCTTCAAGTTGGAACCCTCCCTCTTTTTCCAACTTTCCAAACCTGTTCTGCGACATCGACTGACAGAGAGATGGTATGTGGTAGTTCGTGTCTGTCGGCTACCCTTTAAACTAACAATCCTTCAAGTGTCGCTGGCTATATTTTTCCGCCGCGGCATACGTTTTGCTAGGCCTTGTTACTGGTGTTCAGTTGGCTACTCCCAACACGGTGGTGCTGGACGGCTACAGGCTCGTGGATGCCAAGTCGCGGCTGGTATATGATCCATCTTTGAAACAGACGTTGGGTATGCGATACTTATACCGCGCTATCTATATTCACATCCAAATGGCATCTGTAGCTTCTCTTACCGCCCAAGCCGATAGTTGGCTATCCCAAGGACCATGGAGTGTCACGAATAAAACAGTTATCCCCCCTGGTGGCGATATCCATGATTACGCCAGTCAGGCGCCGTACTGGTGGCCCTCCAACACATCGGACGGCTGTCCTTATGTCAACCGAGATGGTGTGCACAACCCCGAAGTCGACAAATACACCGACCACAACGACCGTGGAAGCATGTTCCAGTCCTCTTACATCCTCGCTCTGGCGTGGTACTACACGGGGAACACACAATATGCGACCCACGCAGGCGACATCCTGCGCACCTGGTTCATTACCCCCGCCACGCGTATGAACCCCAACCTGAACCACGCACAAATCATTCCCTGCGCCAACACCGGACGCTCCATCGGGATCATCGATTTCTCACAGCAATACACCAGTGTCGTCGACGCCGCTGCAATACTCGCCTCGGGTGCGCCTGGGTGGTCTACGTCGGACGTCAGCGCTTTCCGCCAGTGGAACGTCGACTTCCTCGATTGGTTAGAGACGAGCCAGTTCGGCCAGGACGAATCCGTCGCGACTAATAACCACGGAACGTTCGCCATCATGCAGAGCGCTGGCATTGCCCTTTTCACCGGAGACACCACGTTGGTTCAATCGAAAGCAAACCTCATGAAGCCGCGTATTGGATTGTACATCACTGCTAACGGCAGCCAGCCGCAGGAGCTCGTCCGCACGCGGAGCTTTCACTACTCGACCTTTGACCTTGTGGCGTACACTCGGATGGCAGCCATTGCGAAGAAGGTGGGCATCGATCTGTGGGGATACGAGGGCGCGCAGGGTCAGAGCATCAACCAGGCCATCGACTTTATCATTCCGGCCGCTACTGGTGCGGAAGAGTGGAGCTTTCCCGAGCTGAACTTCACCGCGTTCGCGGCTAGCGACATCATCCATGCTTCGGCTGATGCGAGGAACGCCGCCGCTAGGAGAGCGGTTAGTCAAGTGCCTGCGCCTCCTGGTGGAGACCTTTGGCTGCTCCGTCCAGCGGTGGAGCAGCTAGATCCCGTTACTTCGTAATCCCATTCTCGACTGAATAACAATATATATCTACAATTGTAGTGTACCTCTACAGAAAGCCAATGAAACAAGTTACGGTCTAAGGACGATCTTCGCGAGTAAACCAAAGTGTTCGCTAACCCACGCATCCCTGCCCTCAACTTTCAATTCCACACCAACACGCTCACACTTAGGCTGATACCCCCAGGTGTGCCCTCCGCTTCCCCGAGCCCCGCCTCGTCAACGTTCTTGGTACCACACTCTATGGGCTGTACGGTGTCCCGTCAGGCGTCGGACAGACTGACCTCTTCGGGAAGGTTTCGGTCGGAAGGAGAGATGGCATTCATATCTCCCGCCACCAGACCAGCGTCCACCCCGCTCGCCGCAAGAAGTCTTGAGATCGCTTGCAACTGTTTGGGCCGGGCCCTGTCCCCGAACCCGTTCAAGGACTCCAAGTGAGTGTTGGCGATAATGTTTTCGCTCTCGGCTCCCCCCTTTTGGGGCAGCGGAATGGCGAAGTCGACGTACTACCAGACAGTCTCTCTGCATCCGGGTTTCAGTGAATGGGACCCTCGACACGGAGAATACGAGGGACGCCAGAGAATTCGGCACAAGCGTGAGGGTGCTGTATGATCGCGCAGAGAAGAGGTTGGTTATTTGAGCAAATTCACGGATGAATGTGTTTGTGAGGAGAGTTTTGAAACAAGTATGGACCTCTTGTAGCAAAATAATGGTCGGCGGTGGTAGTGGCGAGGTAAGATGTGGGGAAACGAGTTTTTCTAGCTGGGAGAGAGCTCTTTGGAACCGCCGAACAACCAGAGGAGCGGCAAAGTCCACGTTCCAGATCAGAAGAGAAAGCTCGTCTGTAGAATGAACCAACGTGGATGCCGATGGAATGGTCCCTGGGAGCCCTTCTTGGTTAATAGTGGAGTTTATTGGTCTGCGTGGACGGGGATGGTTTGGAGTCGAAGCAATTGACCCAGCAGGTTTTTGCGCAACACGTGATCTTAGCGCCGGGCCACACTCAATGCACTCCCATCCGCTGTTAATATTGGTTGTTTGGCTTAGTGGTTAACGATGTATTTGCGTTATATTTTTGTCTTTCGGAGATCGCCTGTTCGATTCCGGCGGTGTTCATCCTTTTTTATTATTTCTCTTTGACCAGTTGATTCTCTGCCTACGCGCAGCGGGCTCTTGCGGCGAGCAGACACCCCAGGCGGTGGGCCCAGCGGCGAGCGCGAAGTGGGGTGCGTAGGGGTACCCCAGTGTCCCCCGCGCCACATGAAATTTCCATGCTTGGATTGGACAGGAGACCCGATACATTACCCAGGTATCCTGTCAGGCCAAAATACGGGGGCCTGTAGGGAACACTGTTCCCCCTTGCATTTTCTATATGGCAAACAACGCGCCTTCTTGCGCGATTTTGCGACGCACTTACTAAAAAAGGAAATAAATCACGTGTGCGCAAAAATGTGCTGGGTCAATAGCGGTTTGTATGGTTTGGGCGGCAAATGCGTGGTTGGTGGTCGCTTTCGAACACCTGTCTATCCAGGGTCAGCTTCAATTTTTGGATCGAACTGAGGATGGGCTGCTTCATGAATCAGGCAAACCATCTAGTGGATGCGCCGCTCAGGGTTTCCGTGTCCGGGATCGGAGAGCGAGCTGCTAAAGAAATAAACGCGATGTAGTGCACTTTTTCATGACTTAACATTCCTTGGCTCCTGAATTTCTTATCCCAAGTTCGTCCAGTCAAATGACGACTTCCAGGAAGCGGAAGACACTGCAATGAAGACAAGCACTTAGATGACTGACAAGGGTCGGGGAGACTTTTTGGGCCTCTAAGCGCAACTTGAATCCGAGTCTGGTCTGACCAGCTTACCGTTGACGGCCTCGGCCCCACAGCACAAATTCGAGACAAGGTGATGTGTTGTTGAACTTGTGCTTTGAACCGTGGGATTGTGTTACGTTCCCTAAAAGTACACCTCGTAGTCTCGCTTAGTAAGTTACTTTCCTCCTGATCTCGCCCACAATTCGACAAAACGGTCCTTAAGAGGATACTGTGAATCGTCTGCTCGATGTCAACCTGCATCAGGGGACGCAAGAATTCAACTGGATGGAATCTTTTGCTGGTTACCTGTAACATGATGCAACTGCGCCGTAGTGCGCCATTCACCGGGAAAGGCGTTCGCCGTTCGGTCATGAGGAAAAGGTCTCGTGTTCTCACCGAATAAACCTTTCGCTGGCTACCTCAGGCCATGTAACACGATACAACTGCGCCATCCACGAGCAGAGGCGTCATGCGGAAAGGTCTCGTGTCATCACTGCACCGTTCATCCTGTCCGAACTTTCGAAACATTCGGAGCATCTACTCCACTTTGTTACCGGAATGTCTTCGGGCAGCTTCAAGTTGGAACCCTCTCTCTCTCTCCAACTTCTTTCTAAACCTTTGTTCTGCAACATCGACTGACAGAGATGGTATGTGGCAGTTCGTGTCTGTCGGCTACCCTTTAAACTAACAATCCTTCAAGTCTCGCCGGCTATATTTTTCCGCAGCATACGTTTTGCTAGGCCTCGTTGCTGGTGTTCAGTCGGCTACTCCGAACACGGTGGTGCTGGACGGTTCTAGGCTCGTGGATGCCAAGTCGCGGCTGGCACACGATCCATCTTTGAAACAGACGTTGGGTATGCGATACTTATACCGCGCTATACTCGCATCCAAATGACATCTGTAGCTTCTCTTACCGCCCAAGCCGATAGTTGGCTATCCCAAGGACCATGGAGTGTCACGAATAAAACAATTGTCCCCCCTGGTGGCGATATCCATGATTACGCCAGTCAAGCGCCATACTTTTGGGCGTCCAACACATCGGACGGCTGTCCCTATGTGGAGCGAGATGGTGTGCACAACCCCGAAGCCGACAAATACACCGACCACAACGACCGTGGAAGCATGTTCCAGTCCTCTTACATCCTCACTCTAGCGTGGTACTACACGGGGAACACACAATATGCGACCCACGCAGGCAATATCCTGCGCACCTGGTTCATTACCCCCGCCACGCGTATGAACCCCAATCTGAACCACGCGCAAATCGTTCCCTGCGCCAACACCGGACGTTCCATCGGGATCATCGATTTCTCGCAGCAATACACCAGTGTCGTCGACGCCGCGGCGATACTCGCTTCGGGTGCGCCCGGGTGGTCTACGTCCGACGTCAGCGCTTTCCGCCAGTGGAACGTCGACTTCCTCAATTGGCTCGAGACGAGCCAGTTCGGCCAGGACGAATCCGTCGCGACTAATAACCACGGAACGTTCGCCATCATGCAGAGCGCTGGCATTGCCCTTTTCACTGGAAAGACCACGTTGGTTCAATCGAAAGCGAACCTCATGAAGCCGCGTATTGGATTGTACATCACCGCCAACGGCAGCCAGCCGCAGGAACTCACCCGCACGCGTAGCTTTCACTACTCGACCTTTGACCTTGTGGCGTACACCCGGATGGCAGCCATTGTGAAGAAGGTGGGCGTCGATCTGTGGGGATACGAGGGCGCGCAGGGTCAGAGCATCAACCAGGCCATCGACTTTATCATTCCGGCCGCTACTGGTGTGGCAAAGTGGAGCTTTCCCGAGCTGAACTTCACCGCGTTCGCGGCTAGCGACATCATCCATGCTTCGGCCGATGCGGGGAACGCCGCCGCTAAGGGAGCGGTTGGTCAAGTGCCTGCGCCTCCCGGTGGAGACCTTTGGCTGCTCCGTCCAGCGGTGGAACAGCTAGACCCCGTTACTTCATAATCCCATTCTCATTTGAATAACAACATGTATTTACAATTGTGGTGTACCTCTACAGAAAGCCAATGAAATAAATTACGGTCTAAGGACGATCTTCGCGAGTAAACCAAAGTGGTCACTAACCCACACATCCCTGCCCTCAACTTTCAGTTCCACACCAACACGCACAATGTCGACGGCCACCATTTTCCCCACCGTGAGTATTTTGTCGAGCCTGTTTGGCGGGTACGCACCCTTGGGCTGATACCCCCAGGTGTGCCCCTCCGCTTCCCCGAGCCCCGTCTCGTCAACGTTCTTGGTACTACACTCTGTGGGCTGTGCGGTGCCTGCCAGCCAGGCGTCGGAGAGACCGACCTCTTCGGGAAGGTTTCGGTCGGAAGGAGAGATGGCATTCATATCTCCCGCCACCAAACCAGCGTCTACCTCGCTCGTTGTAAGAAGTCTCGAGATCACTTCCAACTGTTTGTGCCGGGCCCTGTCCCCGAACCCGTTCAAGGACTCCAAGTGGGTGTTGGCGATCCGCAGCCGCAGTGTTTTCGCTTTCGGCTCCCCGCCCATTTGGGGCAGTGGAATGTCGAGGTCGACGTATAGACAGTCTCTCTGCATCCGGGTCTCAACGAATGGGACCCTCGACACGGAGGATACGACGGATGCGAGAGAATTCGGCACAAGCGTGAGGGTGCTATACGATTGGGACGAGAAGAGGTTGGTGATTTGATAAAATTCACGAATGAATGCGTTTGTCAGGAGAGTTTGGAAACAAGAAGTATGGACCTCTTGTAGCAAAATAATGGTCGGCGGCGGTGGTGGCGAGGTAAGATGTGGGGAGACGAGTTTTTCTAGGTGGGAGAGAGCTGTTTGGAACCGCCGAACAACCAGAGGAGCGGCAAAATCCACGTTCCAGGTCAGAAGAGAAAGCTCGTCTGTAGAACGAAACGACGCGGATGCGGTCCCGGATGCAATGGTCCTTGGGAGCCAGCGGCCCTTCTCGATTCGGGCATCATAATAGTAGAGTTTATTGGACGCGGACGGTTTCGGTGGCAATTGCGTGGATGGTAGTTTCGGTGGCATCGGTGAGCGGAACAAGGCAGTCCAGAGCTTTGACATGTTCTTTCACTCGAAGTTACCAGGGCACCGCCACATTCTTTGACAGCTTCCTATTCCGGGGTCGAACTTCGCGTAGTTGTACGAAAAATAATTAGAGCTGATCAAGGCAAGAAAGTCCTATCAACTTGGAAAACACCCCATTAAAGTCCCAGAAAACAGTAGCCATATACACCCGCCCTTAAGACACCCACTCGTCAAATGGAGGTAAATGCCGTTCCTCCAGCTTTCGAGTCTAGTTCCACGACATCCCGCAATCCTAGTGAAGAGTGAGAATCGAGATAACTTGGCACGAGGCTGGTCTCACCCATAACTTCGAAAAACTCCCGCGGCCCCATACTCTGCGCAGCGGCAAAGTCGGTGCCAGTCTCTCGTAACAACCGCATCGCCGTTCGGAGAGCGTGGACCATGGGGACACATGAAGCTAATGAGAAGACTACAGCGCGTTAGAGAACACTTCCGGTGAGTTACGGCTGAACTCACTAATTATCTTTGCTCCCATAGCTTCAGCATCTGCAATGCCCGTCAACATGCCGTCGGAATCAGACAAAAATGAGACGTGCCTTTGGATGTAAAGCTCGGCGTCAGCCCACCGGATATAACGTTCACAAGTACGGGTTTCGGCGCCAAAGTCTTGACGGTCGTCTCCAGAAGTTGTTTGGTCTTGACGCCCTCAATGAAGAGCACATCCGCTCCGGCGTCTGCCGCCAACTGCAGTCGGATAAGGGCCTCATCCATCCCCAATACTTGGGCAGAATCGGTTCGGCCGATGATCACAAAGTCGGAGTTTCCGGGTATCGAGTCGCGCGCGATTACCGCAGCACGTATCCGCATGACGAATTCCTCGCGAGACACGACTTGCTTGCCCAGTAAGTGGCCGCATCGTTTCGTTTGTACTTGGTCTTCGATGTGCAGCCCAGCGACACCGGCTCGGGCGTATTTCGTAACGGTACGAGCAATGTTCGCGGGGCCTCCGAAACTGGCAAGTAATTTATGACAGATTGTCGCAGCGGGAATATTGGCACGTACCCAGTGTCGGCGTCGGCAATTACAGGCATCGAGGGATCGAGGCTGCAGACCATTTCGGCTGCCTGCAGACAATTAGCACAAAAGAAAGAAAGGTACTTGGACACACCCCAACGAAGTCATTGAGAGTTGCGATCGCCAGATCTGGTTGTCCCAGTCGCTAAGGAGATAGACGATTAGAAAAAAAAGTGGCCAAATTGGAACACAAACGACTCAC